CATTCTCCTCATTCTTTAATATTAACAGTTCCTGGGCCCAGTGTGGAGGTACTTTATGCCTTCTTTCATGCCACAGGACTCAACAATGACTCACAGAGATAAGGTATTCAATTGGAAAATCATTTTAGAAGACCTATTTTAAGGAAAAAAGCCTTTATTCCTACCTGTGCTTCTGTTCCTTCCCTCTCCAATGGACTGGCTTCTCTAGAAAATAATGCCACATGAAATTCTGTCATCTAAAATCCAATTTTAAGTACTCTATCCCTACTCATCAGCTACTTAAGGCTAAAACTCAATGTACAGACTTAGGGCTGCCCACTATGTACAGCTCAGAGAGCTTCAGTTTCCTAAAATGTTACCTTTAATTATGTACAAATAAGTGGCCTCTCAACTAGATACATATCTATTAACAAATCACTTAGTTCTTTCAATAAGAGGCAGCAAACAACCACAAAGTATATTCACCAGTATTTTAACTGGCAGATTTAAAGACCCACAAGTGTTTGCCTATCTGGAAGGGAAGGAGGTGCTAATTAGTATTCCCCAGACCTGGATGGCTTTGGTCAAGAAATATGACTGGCAGTCACAGGGCTGAGATAAGGGGTGGTGAAGAAACTGAAAATAAATAGAGTTGGCAGGACAATCTTAAAATCAATACATGGAAGAGAAAGAAGGAATTCTGGGGGTACCCTTGACATCTGGTTGGAACTCCTGGGAGTTGATCAGAACCATCCTTAAAAGCAAAACCAAGAACAGGTATGAGATCCCACCTACCTCTTGGCCGAGGCTGGAGACTTGGCCACGATGACTGCATTCCTGTAATCTGGGATCTGTGATAGACAAGAGGTTGGGGATTACCACCATGTCTCTAAGAGGTCATGCTGACAGTCAGTGAAAAACAATGCTCCAAAACTCAAAACTGTCCTCTGATTCCTTGGACATTTTGCAAAAAGAGAAGTTCAAAACAAAAGTCTCCTTTGGAAATGGAATGCCTACCTAGGAAGAAAGTGTTATTAAGGTGTGAGACACACAGATTCCTTTTCAGAAAAAAAAAAAAAGTATAATCAGTGATCAGCTCGCATCTCTATGCCCACAAATAACTGATACAAAGATGCTTCTATAAAGTCAACAGAAAATCCTCTCATAATTCCCAATTACATGCAGTTTCACAGGACAAGGGAGAGAGTCACCCATTTCAAATCCAACTTAACTGTCAAATTCCAAATTAGTGTGGTCCAGAGATAAAGAGTCAAAATATTGTGGTTACCACATGCTGGACTGAAAGGACAACTAGCCCTGTATTATTTTTAAAAAGAGATCTAAAACTAAAAGCAAACAAACAAAACCAATTAAAGTATCAGCTGCTGCTTTGGAATCTTTTTTATTTGGGGAGCGGTGCTGGGATCTTGAGTGGTGTATTACTGAATGATGTCCCTGGGCCCCTTTTTCTATTTTGTATTGTGAAACAGGCTAAGTTGCCAAGGTTGACCTAGAACTTGCAATTCTCCTGCCTTAGGCTCCCAAATTGTTGGGTTCACAGGTATGCATCATGGTACCCAACCTAGAATCATTTTAAGGTTGAAAACTAATGTAATAAGTGCTAGTCATGATTAGAGTCAAAGATGTACCATTTTCAAGGTCTAAGTGCTCAGAAGAGAAACTGTTTTGAAGCTGAGCTGGAATTTGTTCCTGACTTCAACTTGGCAGAATTGTCAAACTACATTCATAAAA